TAGGGCAATGAGCAGGAGCACAGTGGAGAAATGAGCAGGAGCACAGTGGAAAAGTGAGCAGGAGCACAGTAGGGAAATGAGCAGGAGCACAGTAGGGAAATGAGCAGGAGCACAGTAGGGAAATGAGCAGGGGCATGGTGGAGAAATGAGCAAGAGCATGGTGGAGAAATGAGCAGGATCACAGTAGGGCAATGAGCAGGAGCACGGTGGAGAAATGAGCAGCAGCATGGTGGAAAAATGAATGGTCTTTAAGCTCACATGAACTGTTAATAGAAACTGCGAGGTCTCTTTCTTAATATATACTTATCAGAACCTTCATAATCTATAGTTTGAAACTCTGTAAAAAAACAGATTTAAAAGAAACCACACAAATCATCTTAAAGAGTAAATATGAATAGTTTAAAGAATTTCTTTTAAGCTCAGAGAGGATTCCAGAAAGAAGAGCAAGGGTTAGGCACAAAACGTTGGCCATCTGTTCTCTGCCTTTAGTGATGAATCAAATGAAGGCAATGGGCTCAGCCATAGTGGAAGAGGATCATTCTGGTAGTCATGGTTATTAAAATCAGAAACCATTTACTAAGGGACAGTACAGAATTGCTTTCCTAGGAAATCTTTAAACTTTGTCAGGATGTCCACTTTTCCCAAGCATAACTGCTGTGTTACATTCCCCAAGGCTGTGGAAGGCATTGCTTCACTGTGTCTCGAGCACGTTCATCAAGGGGCATAATATGCAGAGGGTTCCAGCAGCTCTCAGGACAGATGGGGATAAAGAGGGCTGGATGATCTGGTTAGGAGATCGCTAATGTGTGTCCATCTCGAGTTCTGTTTTGTTGTTTATAATAGAGTCAATGTTAAGGAAAAGCCTTATGTAGACACCTAGGGGTGGACTACCTGAATGTGCAAAGAAGTAAGAGGAAAAAAGATATCCCTTGGCCTTGCCTTCCAGAGTGGGATGAGACACAGAAGAGGTTTATGGCAGTAGGTCAAAGCTGCTTTCCTCTTAGAAGTGACACATATATATGACAGTCATGGTAGAAAACTTCATCTCCAAGTTGTCTGCACAAAACATGCTCTGCTAAGCATAAAGCTACCACAGATAGAAGCCCGTTATCTCTTGCCTCAGACAAACAAAATGAGAATGCTGGCACTGATATAGGATAAGAAATGGGAAAATATCCTGAATTCTCTAGTTTCCATGAATTGATAAAAATCCATGCCGGGCTGTGGAACAATCCCAGCCTAAACCACTCTTAAACGGAGAATGGTGTGTGATCTTTCATGGCACAGAACTTCTGGTGGTGACTGAGGAGCAGGTACACCGCAGGGTCAGGGAGTGAGTCTGGACCACCTGGAAGGCTCTGGATAAGACCCTAGAATGACTGAACTTCAAGGAGCAGCAGCTTAGCAGTGGGTCACTTAATGCAGGCTGCTCTGGGGAATGACCACTTCATGACCAGACTACCTCCATGACTCCCATCCAGAGCATGAGAGCTGTATGACAGTGATCAAAATCCCAGAGCTCAGTGCAGGGTGCTGTTAGCCTGTGTGCCCTGGTAGCGAAGCTGGTAGGACTCTCCTCACTGAGAACTATGTCTCTCTGTGCAGAACAGTCACGCCTCCAATGTGCAAGTACCATAAAAGGAGCACAAAACAAAAAGAGCTTAGAAATGTGCAAATACCTATGTATCTACAGAATTTCTTCCCTTTTTTATTATTGAAACAGTGTCTTGCTGTGTAGCCCAGGCCTGCCTCCAACTTGCTACGTAGCCCAGATCAGCCTCAATCTTGGGATCTCACTGTTCCCGTGTCCTAAGTGCTGGAATTGTAAGCATACGCTGCTATAGCTAGCTCTACAAGAATTCCTACATGGGGTAACAACATTAAATGGGATGACAAAGAGACATTTATTTCTAGTTAGGGTCTCATGTATCTGACCTCAGACTTGTTTTATAGCCAAGGATGATCTTGAACTTCTAATCTTCCCGCCTTCATCTCCAGGACTCTGGAATTACAGATTTGCCACCATGCCCAAACTTTATGTGGTCCTAGGGATTGAACCAAGGGTTTTGTGCAGTCTAGACAAGTGCTCTACCAACTAATGCTCTACATTCTCACCCCAAAGGAATATCTTTTAAAGCTGTATTGTTTAGTAAAGCTACAGAATTATAAAAGTACCAAAGCTTCCTACAAACATACCTTATTTGAATTGTGTGTGTGTGTGTGTGTGTGTGTGTGTGTGTTTGTGTGCGTGCGTGTGTGAGTATGTGTGTGTGTGCATGCGTGCCACATCATATGTGTGGAAGTCAAAGAACAACTTGTGGGAGTTGTTCTCACCACCATCATATAGGTACTTATGATGAAACTCAGGTCAAAGGCTTTGTGGCAAGGGCCTTTACCAGCTGGGTCATCTCAGCAGCCCTTAGTCATGCTTTAAAATGACCAAGAACATAACCATTGTGATGAACAGAGAATGTTACTCTTATGGTGTTGTTGTTGCTGTTGTTATTAACCTTGGGGAACCAGATGGAGACATTTAGGGCTTCCTAAGCTACCTCTAAGAACCACTGTCCGACCTCCAGTCTTGAGACTGGCCAGAGTGTGCAGTTTTATTTGCAGCTTGGAAGTAGTGTCTTTCAGTCCAGAATGGGCCTTTGCCTTTTCCGTTATCAAGTAAACAACTCTAACATCACCAGTGCTGCATACCAGACATCCCAGATGGTAGCTTAATAGCCTGAAAGAATTAATAGCACACCTCTGAGCACATTATTCACCCAGAGAATAGTTCAGGCAATGCAAAGAATCTGGCCCATTATGGCCCACACAATTGCTAAGTAATATGCAATCACAGAAATGAAGCATGGCATATGGTAATCCCTTTACTAGATTGAGAGTCATTGTAATAAAAGTGCTGTTCAAAACCCTCATGGAAATTTGAAAGGCATACCTTTTTTTTCTGGAAGAAACATCACAATAAGGCAGGCCAGTCCTCCAAGGCACAGAAACGCTGCTAGTGTCCGCTTCCGACCAAACCTAAACAATGGGAGGACATCACATGTCTCTCTAATGAATCTTATAAAGCCATCTCCCCTCTTCTGCAACTTTCCTACCTAAATGTTCTCAATTTAATTTTTTTTTTTGAGTGGGTGGCAAATGTAGCTGGTCAGGAGACAGATCAGGGTGTAAATAAGCATGGAAAGGGGAATCCACTGGATGGCAGGATCAGATCATGTGCACAGGGAACGAATCGTCGTATTTCCAAGAGCGTGCACAGTGGCAGGACTGTTTTAAATGCATGCCACCTATTACCTCACTGAATCCTAATATCAAATGTGTAGGCATGTGCAGTGACACTCTCCGTCTTTTAGAGACTCAATCTAACAAAGAGAACAGAGTCCACTAGTTTGTTTTATTTTCTGGTTACCGGTTCTTATGGTGTTAAAAATTTTAAATCAAGGTTTGTTGGGGTCTTTTTGTTTGTTGGTCTTTGTCTAAAGCCTTTAGAAATATAAACAGGAAGAAAAATTCTTGCTAGTGGTTTCAATGTAAGTAAAATGTACTATACACTTCAATTTCCAAATAAAAGGACCAGGTAGGAACGAAGACGTGACATTAATCTCCTCTCTCAAGCAACGGGCCACCAATGGGCCAGGTCCTTGGCTAGGAACTTAAGTATTTACTTATAATTCTGACAACTAATTTGTCAGGGTAATTTTAGGATTGCTGGTTTTAGACTAAGTACAAACAGAAGGAAGTTTAGTAGGGGGACTTACTGAAGTCAGAAAGCTAACATGTGGCTCAGACTAGAAGGAAACCCAGGTCTGCTTGACCCCAAAGGCACTGAAATCCCCCGCAGATCCGAGCCCTGCCTTGAGGCAGTAGCTGCTGGAAAACAGTTAAGGTCTGGTGTCTTTTTGACAGATATTTTCCAGGTTATTTTTAACAGCTAGCATGGAATGGCTTTTGAGTGACATTGACCACGATAGGCAAGCCCTAGGCATAGGCTACCCTCATGAATAGCTTCCTGGCGATACTAGAAGTGGCCATCAGAGTCATTTCCAGGAACCTGTAGCTGCAAAAGAAGAGGATGTGCCCTTCCAGGGATGCTGAGTGTGATGGCTGGCCTGCTTCTGGGACCATGGTGAGAGTGAGTGATGGTCACCAGTGGACTCAGGTCTGCAATGCTCTCTGGGAGGAAAGCATCCAACTGAACAGTCCTGCATTTGGCTCTCAACTGAAGCAAGCTGTCAGGGTGAGTCAGGGGTAGGGTCATAAATGACATTGCAGCTTATGGCCCAATGCTTTTGTTGGCTTTTCCCTTCAGCTCACTACCCCACCCCTATTCTCCTCAGCTTTACTCTTTGCTTCTTGAAAACAAAAATAAACAAGAACCTGGCACAGGTTGGCCTGGCACCTAGCACTTGTCTGCTGGTCCTTCTCTTCATCTCTTCAGATACTAGCCATAGGCCAAGCATATTTGCCTCGGCACGCTGTACAGCCCTGTTTCTCTGGCCTCCGTGCATAACTCAAAGGCATGGCATTCTCTCTATCTCCCCTCTGCCTGGAATTCCAGCCTGCCGGCCCTGTTATTTTTCTTTCAAACTCTAATAAAATTGTTTGCAAGCTTCCTTTCAAGTCTGTTCCTAACTTCTTTCATTAATGAGGCTAAATAACCCTTAAAGAACTCTTGGTTTCCTGATTAATAGCAGAGTGCTAGGCAGTGCTCTAGTTTGGGTTGAAATGATAATGTCTAGACAATAAGAAATGGTACAACTCACCTGGTCCCTCAGTCACTAAATAACAGAGGGGCTGAGCAGACAGACAGAGATGCTGGTCTGTATGAAGTAACTTTTGGAATTTCACTCCCTTGCTCACAAGCAACAAAAGCAGGGAATACTCTGCCCCTTCCTAGTACTCAGGAGGTAGGAAGTCTTTCTAGTTCTGTCAGGTTTTGTCTTAAGAGCTTGTGAATTCTGAGTTGATGGGATTCTAGCTACATGGAGCTAACCACCACGTTGCTCGTGCTATGAATCTGCATCGACTACTCAATGACTACGAGTTAAAGCCTACATAAGCATTCATATTCACAAAACTCAAGAACTACTACCATAAAAGTGAGCTTAGCTGTGTTTAGCCTGAGAGAAACTCTGATGGGCAGTGCTGGGCATGCACGAAGGCCATGGAGCATAACAATTGATATGTGCATATGGAAGAATGTGTCAGCTACAACACACCCCTCTGTGGTGGGCCTCCTCGCCATTCATACTCACCATCTTTGGTTAATCAGGTAGATGCAGAGAGGGTAGGATGGAATCTCTATGAGGCCAGATAAAGCCAGGTTGGCATAAATGCTTCCCCCTAGGTCCCCCGCACTCAGGGTGAGGCCGTAGTATACCAAGCTGCACACAAACCTATATTGGAAATCAAAGGACTGAGAGGTGAGAGGAAAGTCCGTAGGAGAGATTAAACAGTTCCATTCAATATAATACCCTCTGCTTCAAGTAATGAGTTTTACTCTCCCACTGAACTTTCTCTCTTAATCTAAATGTCTATCCTATTAAGAAACAAAGGCGTAATGGGGCTTTGGGAGTGATTTATGTCTACATATTCTATAAAGCAAATGGATGTATAGTTCCTGCTTGAGAAAAGACATTGTTCCTGCCTCCCCAAGCATTTCTGCACTGCTGTGAAAACAATGGCCCTGTTCTTACTTCATTGGTTCCAGCAATCTAGGGAACATGGCCTGTAGCCTTGTGATATTATCAGAAGGGCTAGACAGAACCTTCTATGGGAACAGCCAACCAGGGATGGACAGGGAATGGCCTGGATCCTCAGGTGGGTCATCAGCAGGCCACAAGCCTGGCTCTCCATCCCCCTAGAACCCTAGTCACTTCCAATCCAAGGTCTTCAGCAGGTGCACAAACTATAGGGACCAAAGTAGAGAAGAAAAAGCCAGGGTCTCTGCAGAGCAGGACCTCCTGGGAAGATCAGCAGGAAGGGAGGCTCTTGAGAGACGCTAACTCATTTCTGCACACTAACACTGAAATTCACATGTAGGCAGCTCCTCCCAGCCCCGGTATTGTGCTGGACACATGCCTGTCTCCTGCAGTGGGGAACGATGTGCCATGGAGCTCAGCTCAACTGAGTGCTAACCTGAAGCTCCGAATCAGACTGAAGTACTCAGAGGAACATCAGCGATCAGCAGGCTGATATATTAACATCACAACACAGAACAGCTGGCCCTAACAACCCTGAGCCTGCTTTTTACCGGTGCATGAACACAGCTAGTAAAACACAAGTTCCTACCCAAGCAACAGATTACCTGGGCTTTCCAACTCCCCTAGCTGATCATCTGTTGCAGTTCACAGTGGCCAGTGCTTGCTAAACAGGTAGCTCATCTGCTTCTATTTTGTTTTCCCTAGAAAAACTGTGGTATGTTATGGCTGCACTGGGGTCACATGGCAAAGGGAATACTTTACTCTTCCCTCAACCAAAAACCATAGAAGTTGGGCAAATGTCCTAGGCTATGAAGGACAGGCCACAGTGGGCAATAATATAGGTCAAAGACAAAGCAGTAGGACATTTGACCTAATATGTATAATGCCCTTCACTTCCTTATTACACACACACACACACACACAAACACACACACACACATACACACACATGCTACACGTAAGCTTTAAAGGTAGACATTTCCTCCAAAGCAGCTGATGGATCGCGTGACAAGCAAACTCACAGCTGGGAAGAGCTGAGTTCCTGTGCTCTCAGTATTTGCTCCTAACTAGTAAGAACCTCCAATCAGCAGTGTCAGCACTACACTGCAGGTTTGGTCTTCAGGGGTTCTCTTAACCTCCATGCTGTTAACCCTGGGTCTTTGACATCCACCATGCATATCATTCTCTGGGACACAAGCCACATAATTGTCTCTCTGAAACTTCTTTCTTCAAAAGGAGCCACCTGGAATCCTGGATATAACTTATATTAACTCAGAAGCATTCCGAGAGGCAGGCTGGAATATGCTAAGTGAGTGAATATCAGGCTCAGAGTGTTAACCCTTCATCTACCAACTTGATGGGTAGTTTTGTCCCACCCCGGGAACCTATCAGTGTCAGAGATAACATTTCCAAGAGAGCAGAGGGATTCACACAGCAAGCACTAAGGGGAAAGAGCCTTGGTGTTTTGTTTTTGTTTTACAAAGCAGCCTCGTACTGATAAGGGAGCAAGCTTTCTGTAGTCCTGTGGCTGCAGGTAACCCTGATAAACAGATTATCCAGAGACCTTTAACATTCAAATTGAAGATTCCATAACATCTCTCAGAATTACCAGATGAACATCAGGATCAGAGTATGTCCTAGGAGGATCCGGTAACGGAACAGATCCAGGAAGCTTCCAGTTTCCCTGTAGCTCCTGTTGGCCGGATGTGTTAGTGAGAATGTGCACTTGAGCTTGCGGTTCCTCTTGGCAATGAGGTACAAAGCCTCTTCCGCCTCACTCAGCCGACCCTGGGAGTATAACCAACGAGGTGATTCAGGAATGAATCTGAAAGACACGTCATTAAAGGCTGGATATTCATACAGGTGCACGTGCAGAGGAAGGAGACAAAAATCCCCTTGGTAGGTGGCTTCCCTCTCCATGGCTCACTTCCTTCACAAGCATAAAATGACTTCCCCAGTGACACATGAGAGAGAACAAAGGGGCCACCCCAACACTGCGGTGACAGTAAACGGTGGCTCATTTCTATCAGTTGGAACTGAGTTTTGCAAATATTGGTTTCAATAAAGGTTTCCATTTCCTTTTAAATAGGTTTCAGTAAGTGAATGGCAAATCTCCAGTACTGGTGAATGCATGTTTCTACAAAGCATAAGCCAGGCTCAGCTCTGAATCCCCACTAGGTGTTGTTGACAGACAATATGGCAATGGGTGTAGCCTACCTTTGTATTTTTCTGATCTCACTGTGTAGAACAGGCTGGCCTCAAACTTGCTACAAAGCCCAGAATAACTCTGAACTCAAGACCTTCCAGAGTGCTGGGATTATAGGCTCGTTCCATCATGCCTAAATAACTAGGTTCTTACAATCTGGAAAAATCTAGCATTGAGATAGAAATTTTTATCAAAGAAAACAGTTCAAAGGTGTTTATTTAGGTGATTCAGGAATGAATCTGAAAGACATGTCATTAAAGGCTGGATATTCATACAGGTGCACGTGCAGAGGAAAGAGACAAACATCCCCTTGGTAGGTGGCTTCCCTCACCATGTTATTTAGGAGGAATCATTAAGATTACACAAAAGAAGGAAGATTTTTGTCACTTCTGAATATTCATTGCTTCAAAATACTTAAAACCATCCAGCACACCAGCTTTAGAGTTGGGAAGGGCTTTCCTGTTTTACCAGGACTGCAAAGAATAAGAGTTGCTGGCAGTTAACTTCTAGTTACAGAACAACAGGCATTTCCTAACACAACCACAAGGTGTCGAGCCGCTCTGTGCTAGCCCACTAGAGTCTTCACAGTTTCAAAACTTGAGCACTGCATGGAGTTTGCTTCATCATTCTGTTTTAGGAGACTCCCCGAAGATGTGGCAGAATGGAAACCTTTACAAAATTTAGCGTGTGTGTGTGTGTGTGTGTGTGTGTGTGTGTAGGTTTATATGTTGTATTCTTAGAGGCCAGAGGAGGATGTCAGGTCCTCTAATCTATCCACTCTTTGCCTTATTCCTTTGAGGTATGGTCTCTCACTGAACCTGGAACTAGGCTGGTGGCCAACAATTTTCCTTGGGTTACTGGCACATGTAGCCACATTTAGTTGTTTATGTGGGTACTAGGATTTGACCTCAAGTCTTCAGGTAAGCAAGCTCTCTTACCCACTGAACCATCTTTCCAGACTGGATGCCTTCCTTACTAAACATAACATCAAAGTACTTTACTTTTTTTTTTAAAAAAAAATCAATCTGATATTTTCTGCCTTAAGTCAAATTTTGATGAATAAAATGTTTTTGGTTTTGTTTTTTAATTCCTGATACCTCTCAGTAAGGATGGTGAGAACAACAGCAGTATCGGATCTGGAAGCATTGTAGACAGCCGTTCTGTCAATAACCACTGAGTGAGCAGTTCCACCCTACACAGGGCAGGACAACCGGTGCTGAGAGGAAAGATGTCAAGACAAACAGGAATTTTTACAGAACTTACCCACTGGGGACAAGGACACTCATGTGCAACCTTGGACTATCAATCAAAGCCATTTATAATGTCTTGTAAAATCCTTTAGTCACTTCCTTGTTGCCATTTAATTACTGATGTTGATTAATATGTAAATAACCAAGTCAATGCTGTCCTGTTGGAAGCTGCATCTGACAATGATCAAGCTTGACCCACTGACCCAGATGCGTGTACACGATCTGATTGAGTCTTCGGGTAAACAAAAAGAACTGTTAGGAGACAGCTAACCTGCCTATGCAGGGAAAACATATGAAGAGAATTTAAACTGGGCACAGTTGGAAGGAATGAGAAAGAACCAGCCGGAAGCGTATCAAAATCCTGATGTGATTATGGCTGGTTCACGGGAGCCACATACTCCCTGGCCTCTCTGTGATTTTAGAATGGCTAATCAGCAAAAAACAAAACAAAACCCTCCTTCCATGACGCCACCAACCATATGAAGATGACATTTGGAGTGAGGATGTTTGCTCTCCACTGCTCATGTCCTGATGTCATTTCCCACTGAGGACAGTTCCTCAGCTAGCACTAACTAACTCAGACTGTAGACTCAGGGAAAATAAAAAGACACAATGGCTCACAGCATCCATTGAGTTTTCACTGCTATTGTAGGAGAGGTAAGAGCCAGGCTAGGTGCAGAGGTATAAGCTTTGTTAAGTATTTGAAAAGAAAACTCATTTATTCACCAATATGCACATGGCTGCTTATTAACTCAATGTACCCTATGAAGCACAGCTTTATTACTTTTAAAAATGTACAATGTGCAAACTATAAAGTACTACTATTTCCATTAATAAAATTACCTCCCCACAGTTCACATAACTCAATCCTTTAATGATTTTTTTCTTTGCTACAGGTTAACTATCCTGCTGCATTCATTTCTTCATTTAACAAGTCTCTTATTTTCAGAGACACTTAGAAGCAAATTTCAGTTCAGTCTCACAAAATCTCAACTTAGAAACGATAAATAGCTACTAAATAACAGAGCCACTGAAATTAAGATAATGCCACAAGTCTGTCTCACTGTATTCCACAAAAGAAACCCCAGATACCATTAGAGGAAGTCTTTGTTTACACAAAAGATTTTAGTCTGATATCTTGGAGAATATATAGCTTTCATTTGACACATTAAAACTTGGCTAAGTGGGCTGAACTTGGTGGCTTACCACCATAATGTGACACTTGGGTGATTGTTTGTGGAGCCCACCCTGGCCTGGGAGTTATTCTTGTATTGCTCTGAGCATTTCTGTAGACAAGATATCTCTTGTAGACTCTGTACTTGGAGACCCTGAAATGAGACTCCCGTGCAAGATGGACAGATGTCACTACATGGTCAGCACTTACGCTTGGCTCTACAGTATAAGACCTCAGTCTCCCACCTAGCCCATGGTGAGATCCAGCTTGCAGATCTTTAAACTTAAGGCATTGGGTTAAAAAAAAAAAGAAGAAAAAGGAAAAGAAAAAAGGAAAGATAATTTTAGTAGCCTGATGGCCAAATACTGAGAAATTAAACATGAGATACCTGGATTCTAAACTAGCATCTCCCTCTTCAAGGAGCTGGCAAGAATTGAACATTTGCAGTTTAGCTCTTCCCAGAATTCACTGCAGGCAAGCTCCTGGAAGGCATAATGCTGCTTGCTTGCCTGCTCACATCCTTCCAAGACATTCCTGTTTATGGAACAAAAAAATTCCAAGGAGAAAAGACTACTTACAAAGATAAGAGGAAGACTACTGTTCCCTGAAGGTTGACCAGAACAGCTAGGGTCCTCCAGGAGCGGATGAAGTATCCTAACAGGGCATATTGCGCGATACCAACAGCAAAGAAGAGACCACCAATCGATCCTAAAGCAGGGAAGAGAGAATTGTCACTGGAGAAGATCACCCACAGAACCCTTTCCAACCTGATCAAGTGTGCATGTCCTCTTTGTGAGATATCAGGCCTGCCCTACTAAGTGTGAGAGGCAGAAGAGGGGCAAAGAATAAATAGCACCCAGCTTCTAATGATTATAAAACACCAAGAAGGGCCAGAAATCTGTGAAAACGGAGGAAGGGCAGCTGAAAACATGTACCTTGTGTGGACAAGATGGAAGTTCAAGGCTTTAGTCAAGCGCTTTCTGTAGTGGGTGTTGCAATAACTTCTGTCTGCACCTGGGGCTGAGGCTGGATATTTTTTTTTCCAGTGGGGATAACGTGGCTTTTGGGTCATGCAGTTCCTGCAATGCTGATCTTAATTTTTTAAAATGGTTGTATTGTTTTATTTATTGTTAAGTGTGCCTCTATGTGTGTGAGCTTGTGTGTGCCACAGTGCACTTGAGGAAGTTGGAAGACGACTTGTGGGTTCCACAGATCAAACTCTGATAGGCTTGTCAGAGGGGGTCTGAATGCATGGAGCCACTTTCAGCCCCTGGCACTTAATCTTTATTACAGAGGCTATTCATGAAAATATTACCTTGAGCCACCCCAACTCCCCCCCTCTTTTCTCTACTTAATTTATCACCATCAGATGCATGACTCTTTACATTTTCTTGTTTCTCACCTGCCTCTCCCAAGTAGGAACACAATTTGTTTGAAGAACGGATTTTTGTCGAAACACTAATGGAAAAATATCAACCACAGAACTGTAAAGAAGCCTATGTTTTTTAAAATAAGTATTGAGATAAAGATTAAATGCACCAGCTTGCCTGATGTTCCTGCAAATTCTGTACCTCTGGCACACTTTATGTAACTGCTATTATCACCGTGGGCAGGTTATTGAGTTTTGTTGGGAATAATCTATTGTGTGTGATGTTTTATGAAACAGGTACCATTATTAACTGCACACTGAAGCAAGAAAATAGCTTGCGGGTTAGGGGAAGGTGTCTCTAATACAGCATGTTGGATATGGCAAAGCTAGGCCCTGTACAAGGTCTACCACACTCTGAGCCGTTCCCATCTTCTTTCTCATCTCTATGGAAAGGTAGGATATTTTATTGTTTTCTGAGACAGGACTCTGTTGTGTAGCCCTGAATATGCTGGAACTCTACTCTGTAGACCAGGCTGACCTTGAACTCACAGAGATCTGACTTCCTCTGCCTCATGGAAGCTGGCATTCAAGGTATGTGTCACCACTGCCTGGTAGGAAAGGCAGTTTTTTAGATGGGCCTTACTGGTCTTGATCTTAGTTTTTTCTATGATAATCTTATAAACAATGTTTTCTTAGATCTTTGTTTATAACTTACCACTTTAAGACAAAACGTGATGGCTTGTATATTTTTTTTGCTCTAGTTAGGAAAAGAAAGAGCCAAAGGTGTGTGTGTGCATGTGCGTGTGTGCATGTGTGTGTGTGTGTGCATGTGCGTGTGTGCATGTGTGTGTGTGTGTGTGTGTGTGTGTGTGTGTGTGTGTGTTTTCAGCATTCTGAAAACAGGATTCATCAAGTGAGGGGATAGAGACAATATGGAGTCCCCTGGAAATATAAGATAATCAATAGCTATTTGCAGATTCATTATAGTACATCAAATAGCACCTGGCTGGCTTCCAAGGATGAAGCTTCTTTTTCTGTCACTTAGTATTCTCCCATGACCACACAGTCAGGGGATAGTATAGGCTAGTTTCAGAGGGATCAAATTTAAACCCCAATTCTTCCAAATACTAGAGCAGTGGTTCTCAATCTGTGGGTCGTGACCCCTATGGGGGTTAAATGATCCTTTCACAGGGGTCACATATCAGCTATCCTGCATATTAGACATTTACATTATGATTCATAACTAGCAAAACTACAGCTATGAAGTAGCAGCAAAGATAATTTTATGGTATGGGGGGTGTCACTACAACATGAGGAACTATATTAAAGGATCTCAGCAATAGGAAGGCTGAGAATCACTGCACTACCATGGGATTTTGAGCAAGTCACTAAATCATCTTGAAAGTCTGTCTTCTCATCATTGAAATAAAAACAATACTTGTCTCAAAAGATAGCGTTCATTATTAATAGCTTCCAAAACTAATGCTTGTTATACAAGTGTTACATTTGTAATCTCTCTACTTTTCTCTTTGCAGTGATGGCGCAACTGACAGAAATCAATTTAAGGACGGAAGGGTTTATTTTGGCTTACACCCTGAGAGGGCTGGAGTCTGTCATGGTGGAGAAGCATGGTGGGGAGAGTGTGAGGCTGCTTGTTCATGTCTGGGAAGACCAGGGAGTGGAGAGATGAATGCTGGTGCTCGTTCATCTTTTGCTCTTTTCTGCTTTCCGTGGTCTGTACTCTCAGTCCACAGGACGGGGTCACCTTCAGGGTGGGTCTTCCCCTCTCAGGTCATCTTCTCTGGAAAGTCTGTCTCAGGCATGCCCCAACGTGTGCTCACTACAGTATTTCCTAACACACGTTGACAATTCCAATTAGCTCCCACAGCATCCTACTACAGTCTGGGTTTGGGTTTGTACTCATCTGTTAATCAGAGTCAGGGCAGGGAAGACAGCTGGTTATGAGTATCCTCTTCAGAAGATTTTCTGTCTTCCTTTCCTTTCTAATTTCAAGAACCCCTCAACCACAGTATACCAGAGACCTATGTTATTTCTCCTGTCATTCAAGTGGGGACTACCAATCATGGTTCCCTTAGCTGTAAGAGTAACTTGCTGGACCAATCAGAACTTGTCATTTCAAATACTGTGCTCAGAGTTCCTGGGTCTCATCTCTGGCTGAGAAAGTTTTCAGACAGGATGGAGAACAGAGACTAGAAGCACCTGACTTCCAGGTTTCAGAAATCTCCTTGGCCTAGCTCCACTGTCATGAGATGCTGAGCGAGTGGGTTCCCTCTCTGTCTGCACTCTTTAGAACATCGGTCACAATCAAACGGACATGGTGGACAAGGGAGATGATTCAGAGGTATGTTGTAGCTCGGTGACCTCATGTACTGTGATCACAGTAGCAGGCAGAGGTCCAGACAGCTATGTCAATTGTAGGTAGAAAGAAAGTAGTTTTGAATCTGATGGGCTAAGAGAGAGTCATAGCTAAGCTCCAGCAAGAAGCTGCACATACATAGCTGTAAACGACAGCAGGCCCAAGTAAAAGAGTTGCAGACCTGACAGGACTCAAATCCTTAAAAATTCAAGGATCCCAAGTTGCTTTGTCATTACAATTCTGGAATACCATGTGTGGTCTATTTAATGTTCTGTGCCTTAGGGCCTTTGTGCTTTTATTCACAGTTGTTGTCCATTTATTTCTTACACATTTCAACTCTCTTGTTCCTGCTCAGTTAGATCCTGCCTAAATGTTGGCAGGTTAGAAAATACTATTTAGTTCTGACTTTATTTTATAAAAGGAACCAGTGACTGCCCCAGTTTTCATACCCAGACCCTGAAGCCATGCTTGGGCCTGTGTCCTCATCTCTGCTGGTCCCTCTCTCCAGGTCATGGCCATCCAAATCTAAGTTTTCCCTCCTCCCCCTCTGCTGAACCACCACTGGGCTCACATAGCCAATTACACAGCTCCTTGAAAGACGTCTCAGTTTTTATTTTCTCTTCTCTGTGGTCATATATCTAGGAGAACACTCTTGGGATGAGGTCCCATCGTTTTTTTATGTAACATAAGCCCCTGTTCCCTTCATCTGCATTCTGAATAAAAACCCAAATTGCTTGTGCTGTTCACTTTGGGCCAGGCACATCTGGTCCACATCCTCCTCATCCCTCTCCCCCTCGCCCCTTCCTTTACCTTTTCTAATTGCACCATGGTAGGATCTCAGGCCTTGGTCCTTGCCATTTCAACTTCAGGAATTTCATTTGCTGAACTGCATGTGCACTGGCTTTCCTATTCATTCAAATCTTAAATCAAACACATACTCTGTGGTTTTCTCAGACCAGCTTATTTAACAGCCTACTTAACTACTCTGGAAATTATTATCTGGCCCATCACACTGCTTAATTTTTCTCATTGTCCTTAGAATTTTCTGAAATTGCTTATTTTCCCAGCTTCCCCTAATTAAAGGATAGTCTTCATGACAGCAAGCTTCTGAAGGTAGGGAGGTGACCAACAGTCCTACCAGCTATGGCCCTCGTCAGCCATGTCAGCAGCCAAAATGGCACAGTGGCCCTGGCAGCTATGGCCCTCATCAGCCACATCAGCAGCCAGCATGGCACAGTGGCCCCAATGACACAGTAGTGGCATGTTTACCTTAGCTGTAACCAGTTTCTCACTAATCAAACTTAAGACTTGCCCAGCAAGAAGGAAACCATGCCTGGTACTAGAAATTCAGTGTTAGTGAAGACATGGCTGTTGGAGGAGTTGCTACAACCCTTAATTTACTTAAACAGCATAATTATAACAATAATCTATGAACATTTGTCCTTATATTGACATATAAGTGTAGTGTTCATCCCTCATTAGGAAATGTCTCTTTGCAGCAGACACAAGTACTGAGAAACACAAACAACCAAGTGCAGAATTCTCATCCCAGCAGATACATCTACAAAGAATTCCCTCACCTTGGGCTCAGGGGATAACTTGGGAGAGGGGTAGGAAGACTGTAAGAGTCAGAGGATCAGGGGGTTTCCTGTGAGAGAGAGTGTCTCCTAGAAACATTAGAAGTTAAACCCATAAAGTCTCACCAACATTACTGCTGCCCAGAGGTAAGCTGAACAACGGCAGTATCAGTGGACATGTCAAGATGGGCAAGGAAAAGCCCATGAGGTCTCAACCTTACACACAGAACTACAGGTAACTGAGGCAAGCTGGGAAGGGAGAGGAGGCCTTCCTTACAGATGAATACACCAATTGCTGTCAAATGGTCAGCCCTGAAAACATACATAAGTAACATTATATGGACTGATAAGGTTATATTTAGGAATATATATATGCATGGGTATAAACATTTAGATATATGCATATAGTAATAATAAAAAGAGGGCATGAGTTTGAAGAGGGGTGAGGAGGGGCATGTAGGAGGGTTTGGAGGGAGGTAAGGCAAGGGAGAAATGTTATGATTAGAATCTCAAAAAAGTTTTAAAAATTAGTGACTTAGTTCTAAAAAGTAAAAATGGCATTCTTTCATAATTTTGTCATTTAGAAACATTTTTATCAATCATAAGGCCAATTTTGTTCCCATATTGGTACAAAAATATTGTTTGCATCAACGACTGTTAAGTAAATGAAAGTTTTTTTTTTTAAAAAAAAGACTCTCCAAAAGTTATCAGTACAAATCTATAATCTAAAAGGTAGAAGTTTAGATATAGGCAAATATTGTCTCCTAAGACAATATTTGAAGTCACATAGTATGTGTGTGCATGTGCATGTGAATGCATGTGTCTTTGTGGTATATGCATGCATGTGTGTGTCTGTGTGTATGCATGTGTTGGGGGGCATAGTGTGTGTGTGTGTGTGTGTTGAGGGGCATAGTGATGTGTGTGCAGTTGCTTGTGCCTGTTTATGTGGTGCCCAGAGGCTGATATGTGTCTTTCTCTAGTGCTTTCCACATTATGATTTGAACCAGAACCTTGCCACTTCCCCAGCAGAGGCGACAGACATACACTGTCATGCCTGGTTTCTTATACCAATGCTGAGGAATGTGAAACCAGCAAATGCTTTACTCATGGAGCTATATCTTCGACCCCAGCCTTTGTGCTGGTTACCTTTATGTCAATATAGCACAAGCTAGAGTCATTTTGAAAAAGGGAATCTCAGCTAAGAAATGTCCCCATGGGGCTGGACTATTGGCAAGCTGGATTGATGGGCAGTGACACTCCAGGGCTGGTGGTCTTGGGCACCGTAAGCAAACAGCCTGAGCAAGCCATAAAGAGGCAAGCCAATAAACAGCACTTCTCCATGGTCTCTGCATGCAGGTTCCTGCCTTGAGTTTCTGCCCTCATTCTCCTGGATGGCAGACTACAAGAGTAAAGTGAAATAAACCCTTTCCTCCCCAACTGGATTTTAGTCATGATGTTTCATCATAGCAATAGAAATCTTACCTAAGACAACCTTTAACAATAATTACTGGGCTAGTGAGATTGCTCTGTGGGTAAAGGTGTTTGCTATCAAACCTGATGACCTGAGTTCAATCCCCGGGTGCCACATGATGGAAGAAGAGAACTGACCCCTACAAGTTTTTCTCTGAGCATGTGTATATAGGCACATGTGCTCCCACATCTCTGTGTGTGAATGCATATACACACAAAACAAAAAGTGTAAGAATGTTAAATAATTCTTTCTACTATATGTATATGTGTTCTTGAGAGGATGTTGGAATTATTAGAAATAATATCAAATATGGCCTCAGTTTAGAAATTTAGCATCAGTAAGAAATGCTGCTACGATGCCCTCTATTGACCAGAAAGAATAGTAAAAATGAGGAAAGCCATGAAACAGTAGTCAGTCACTAGGATGAAGTAAGGGGAAATAGTTCTGAGTTTCCTGGCTTTGCCCTATTTTAGGGGAGAAAGTGATGAATGTTCTTCTGAGCAAATGGGCCACTCGCCACAGTCATCTGCAGACGGGTCATGAGGTGGGTGTGGCCACCTGTCTGTGAGGCAGACCCAGGGAAGGCTTCCACCAGGTAGTATGAACCTCATGATGTCTGACACCTTGAAGCGCACACTGGAGAAAGCAAGTGTGATGATGCAGGCCGAGCACCCCTAATCCACCCCCCCCCAATCCCAAATGTTCTAAAAATCTGAAATAGTTTGAGAGCTAACACAATTCCTCAAGTGGAAAAAAAATAATCCATTCTTTACCTGGACATGATGGTTTGAACCCAAATTAGAGACACTAAAAATGCTGAATAGCATCACCTTCAGGCTATGCGCATAAAGCAGCTAGGAAATGTAAATGCATTTTCTGTTTAGAATTGGGCCACATCTCCAAGGCATTTCATTATGCATCAGAATGTGGAATCTGGAACACTCCAGGTCCCCAGCATTAGGGTAAGGAATACTCAGCCTGTAGATATGAAGTGTCTTCAAGCCCACGAATGTTTTCAGACTCTCCCTTAAACTACTCACATCCAGAGCTGCACAAAGTGAAGCAGTACCTGCAAGTGCCCAGTAGGCGGTGCCCACGCACTCATTTAGCAAGACAAAGGCCACCAGGGACATCCCTCCATTCATCACGCCCACCAAGAAGCGAGTTACTGCAAAGAATTCATATGAGGGGGAAAATCCATTTGCAATAGCAAATAAGATGTCAAGAGCAAAACCTGGGAAGAGAGGAACAATATTCAATGACCCAGAAGCAAACAGCATTTGAAGAAAATAATAAATTATTTTCATCAGTTTGTAAAATAAACCTTTGTAAATTTAAATGTCCTGAGATATGTTTTTTTTTTATTTTTTTCTACCAATTTGCCTTGAAAATGCTGAAGAAAAAAACAAGGCTTGCTTTGTTTTACAATTTCTGTCAATCACACACCATTTTCAGTTATTTGTAATAATGCTAGAAATTGAAAATCCTCGCTCATATTCGGCCTGTCAAGACAGCTATGCCAGGTTCTATAGAGCTCATTTGAAATAAATCAACACAGAAAAATACAGGGAAATGGAAGGGAAGGCTGTGGCAATCCTTCATTGCTCTCTTTAGAAACAGGGCAGAGATTACAATTTGGGGGGTTGCAGAAAGCACAGTCAAAAAAAAAAAATGTCTTTAACAAAAATATCTGGTCATAGCCAGGTGAGCTCATTCCAGAAATCCACTTGGCCAGAATCAGCACTGGTGCGGCGTAGCCTCTCGCCAACGTAATAAACAGAAGCTCTCTGTCCACCTGGGAACTCACAGAGACCCTTAAGGAAATAACCATAAGAGTCTTAGGGAAAATAAAGCCTCTTATTCTGTGTATGCATATGGTGACAGATTACCTGTGAGATAGACTTTTTTCCTTCCAAAGCGATCTGAAAGCTGACCAAAGGAGATAACGCCAACAAACACACCACTGAAGAAAAAGGAGCTGGCCGCACTGACTTTGTAAGATCGGTTGGCAATTAAAAACCACTAGAAAAGAAAAAAGAAAGAAAGAGAAAGAGGACAATTTAGTCCACAAACAGCAATATATGCAGTGAGCTAAATTAGTCTAGTATACAGCCCAGACTTGGACTTGTCACTGCATCAACCACCATTAGCCAGAATCTGGTATAATATTCATCTTAGACAATATCCAAGGAGACAGCTTCAGAAACACTAGAAACCATTACTGCCATAATATATTTTCAGAGTGTTCTTCATATACTTCTTACAGAACTGAACACAGCATGAAAGTGCTAACTGGATATCTGATTGTTGACTATGGCTTTATCCTGAGTCCTTGGCAGTTTTTGGAGAGGAGATGCCTTGTTCTATTTGTTTGTCTGATGCCTACACATCACATGGTACATATGAAGTGATCAGTGAGTAATTTTTTAGTTTAACAGATTAGTGTGTTTAAAATTCCTTGAAAATGTTCCTCAAAAAATTAAAAATGGGAAGTGGGGCTAAAGAGATGGCTCAGAGGTTAAAGAGCACTTGGCTACTCTTCCAGAGGACCCAGGTTTGATTCCCAGCACCCGCATGGCAGCTAACAACTTTTGTCAGCCTCAGTTCCAGGACATTCATTGCTGGCTGCTAGGTTCTGAGGGCATTGCACTAACATATGTGCAGGAAAAACACTCAGTACATGCTGTACTCTTATAAATGAAATGTTATTCATACTTTAAAGCTAATGCAGTTGGATTCATGCTACAACCCAGATAAACTTTGAAGACATTATAAAAGGTGAAACAAGCCAGGAAGGAAGGAAGGAATAAAACACTGCATGAAGCTAGTCACATGAGGTACCTGCAAGAACAGTGGTTACGGGGCTAGAGGAAGAGGAGCAAGGAAGCCATCATTTAATGGAATCAGACTTTCCATGCAGAATGATGAAAACCCTCTAGAGTTGGACAGTGATGATGGTTGCAGAATAATGTGAATATATTTAAGGCCACAGAATTATACACTTAAACATTAAAACAGCCAGTTTTGTGTCATGCATATTTAGCACAATAGATATCCCTAGAGTATGATTATCTATGAAGGACAATTATGAACTTAGATTCTGAGCAGCATCACTTCCTGACATCTATCCTAGTGATGGTTAGTAGTAGAGACCAGTAAAGTATGTCGCAGAGATAGTAACCTTGGAGGGTACAAAGATATTCATACTTCATCTTCCCAGTGCCCTTGCAGGGCCGCTCAAGAACCCTTCTTATTGAGAAATCTCAAGGTGGCACTGTTCTGGGCTACCCGTCTCTATTTTTATGTTACCCCTTCTCCAGGCTCTGACGCTACTCATTAGGGCCCCCAAAGCACATCTAATCTTTCTCCTTGCTCTGTATCTCCTATAAGCTTGGACTGATGAAGGTCTTGACAAGACAGCCCTAAGGCTCATGACAGACAGGGTATAATACGTGTCAGAATGTCATTTAAGAGTCATGAGAGAGCTCTGGCATTTGGAGAAGAGTTTTGCTCTGTCAAGAGTTAATTTATTTTGGATACACCGGTAGTTCTGTAGAAGAATATTCAGCTCAGGAGGAATGACTATGGCGACCTATTCTGAAATGGAAAAATGAGACATTAGATGCCATGCTGTCCTAGAGAAGACCGCTCAGCATCCATCACAGGGTCAGCCCCGCCCCTGTGATAGACAAATAGGACCAAATGGGATCATTTTTAAGTACAATTACCCTCCTCATTCAGACACTTGTTAGAGTCATCATGTTCTTAATGTTCATATTTACATGCTTTTAAAAACTGGCTTGCAACTTTAGTCTTCTTTTCTCTGCTCTTTAGGGATGGCCAATCTGTTTACATGGTGAAGATACTTAGGCGGACACTGAGCTGGGTCTGTTAAATCAGGAAGAAATGAGTATTCTGTTGACTGCATTTACCAAATTTCTCATATCCATTAAAAAGGCTACAATACTATCCGTTAGCAACTGAATAGCTGTCAACATGGACAATGATTTTGGGAAGAAATGGCCCAAGGGACAGTTAGCCAGCAAATTCCAACTCCTGATTCTCAGGTTGCCAGTTCCAAGTGTCAAAGTAATTTCTACTAATCTTTCTCCAAGTCAATGTTGGTTAGGCTAATACATCCTCTCATTTCTCCTGGAATGCATTCATGAATGACCAGAAAAACCGAAAAACAGATTTTTCCAGTGCTAACTAGAGAGTGGCTAGCTAGAAGATGGGGTATCTTCCTAGCAGATACCCCACCCATGAACTGAGAGTGGCTGAGGCAGACCATCAGATGACAGATTGCCACACCCTGACCTGACTCTGCTTTACATGTTTTGTTTTCAAGTTTTCTAAAGTATCATTTAAATTCTTATTAGTTAGCTACCATGTGATCAAAAGGGTTTTACTTTACTCTAAGATAAAGAAAGACAGGATCCCTCTGTCTTGAAGACAATGTGAAGATTTAACTACCTGGAGTGGGTTGGAAGCCTAGATCAGTTTGCTAGCTCATTTTCTTACCCTGTGGTTGATATTTAGTGCCAGGATAAAATCCAAACCAAGAAATCACCAGGACATAAGAAATTAAACTATAACACATCAAAATATAATGATGACTTTGACATTCTCAAGAAACATTTTAATGCATCTTTAGATTTTAAAAATCAAAATGTATAAGTCATTCAAGTTCTTCTTGGCTAGAGATTATTAAAGTGGTTACTCCTTTAGTTTTTGTTAACGGGAGGTCAAATTCAGAAGCAATTAGAATGAATGTTCTCTTTACACTAATTCATTTCAAATTGAAGAATCGCTTTGCAAGTCCAAAATGTAAAAGTCCCACTTTCCATGCATAATTAGTAGGAAAAAAAGATGTATAAAGACAAATATTTTCATCCCCTTATGTTAAACTGACTAAACAATCTATTTTTGTGCATGTGTTCTCTCTAATCACCAAATAGAATCCACGAGTATTTGCTGTATTCATTTCAAAATGGACTGGAAGGGTCTGGTGTCAAAACCAGATAGCATAGTTCACTCAGCTACAGAAAATAGGCCTGAGAGGAAATCAGGCACAGTGCAGGCCAGAACTAAGAGCAGATGCCACTACCATAAAAGATGAAAGGAATGTAAATATGTCCAACACAGGTGCGAGCCCAGCACCAGGTGTTCAGCAGAGCCTTCCAGCTTCGAGAGAGGAGCCAAGGTGAGGAGAATGGAGGTGGACTTCCTCTTGGCTGGGTATCAGTGACATGTTTAGGAGAGGGTTTTGTTCCGTCTTCAAGCTTGCTTGTTTAAAAGCTCATAGAGGGATGTTTCAGTAAGGCACTGAAGTCTGGGTATGTGGAGGGCAAATCTACCCTGGTTGCAGCTTAAGTGTGGGATGGAGATGGCAAGATGAAGCCCAATATGTTAAAATCCCACTCCCTCTGCATGCATATGAATAGGAAAGAAAGTCTAGGAAGACAGATACTTTTGGCCCCAAATGCTCGGTGAGCCAGGCTGGCCTGGACAGAACGGGGGTTTATAGAAGAGAGCTAATTTTAGTTAGGTGTGTAGACCTGGTGTTCACAGGAATTACTACCAAACGGATCATACCAATCAAACACAGAAAAAAGCTTGCAGATGAGTTTTAAAGGATGTTGTAAAACGTGTCTTCAGCATGCCTTGAATGCATCAACCTTGTGCTTTATGGAGATGTCAAGTCAAATCCATCATTTCTCTGACGTGGCATAAATATGACCATCTGAAAATAACCGATGTACTTCGCTGAAGTGGACTCCATACTCAGGCGTAACTCTAAAAGCAAAGTTAGCAGCCAAGTAATGAAGAATACAGACATCAGAGAGCCGACAAACAGGCAGGCTGCACACTTTACAGCTAGATAATTAACCAACAGACTTCCCCACATTCTTCTCCTCCTGTCCCCACAGCCACCCTTTGCACAGAAATGACAACATACCGGGGAAAGAGTTTCTATTTTTAGTCCTCAGCCTGTGTTCTATTCAGGAAACATGCAGGAAAATCAGCTATCAGAAGGAAATTAGGAATTAGTAGATCTTGTAACTTAGGGCAGTGATTCTCAACCTTCCTAAATGCTATGACCCTTTAATACAGTTCCCCCTGTTGTGGTGGCCCCAACCACAAATTTACTTCTGTTGCTATTTCATAACGATAATTTTGCTACTGTTATAAATTGTAATGAATATCTGTGTTTTCCAATGTATCTGTGTTTTCTGATGGGCTTAGGTGACCCCTGTGAAAGGGTCATTCAACCCCAAAAGGGTCATGACCCTCAGATTGAGACCTACTGACTTAGAGAAACAGACTAAAATATTGCTGGAAAGTAAGAAGTATGTATGTGGGTGTATGTGTGGGGGCAGGGAGGAATGAATGCTCTGTGGCCTCTGTGCTTAGAAACAGAAGGCTGTTGGGAGGGAAAAGAAGACAATGTTTTAAAGTCAACTTCCACAGTAGTTTCTATTATAACTTTTCATTTTTGGCTAGCCTTATGCCCCAGGTTGTGTCTCATTCCATGGTCTACCTGTCTTAAATGCAAATGCCTAATAAAGTTTCTTGTTTTAAACTGGGTTTATATCACCGACTTGCAGTCTGTGTGCCATACTCAGGCCTCCATGTGACATCAGGTGTCATTATTTTCCTTCCACACTGCATAGTTCGGGGCCACCCCACCCTCCCAGTGCACAGAAGGACCTCTCTATGAGCACTGAGAACTGCACTGTGTGCAGCCTCTTAGCAGCTCAGGACTGCCACAGGCCTGTCTGCTTCCTGTTCCCCTTGCGGCCTAAATGGCCCACTCTTTTCTACTTTTATTTATTCTCGTAGTTTATGGTGACATTTTATGGATCAGTAGTTGAGAAATGTGGTCTCAAGCACAGACCCCTCTTTTCAAAAGGAGCTGTCCCTGGTAAGCAAAGAGCTATGCACAGTAGGCTTTTTACAAGCATTAGATCATTTTCCTCCTCCAGGAAGGCCTGGCCCTCTCTTGTTCTCCTTGTTTTGGG